CAACGTTGGTGTAAAATATCTGATTAAATATTTGATTCGGTGCAAGCTGATGGAGGACACAACGCAAAAACTGTCTACCAATACTTGTGGCAGAACCTGGCAAATGGATACAGTTTTCATACTGCCACGAAAATACCTCACTACCTGCAACTCTATAAGAAAAAAAAAAATTAATGTGGAATCACCCATCGACATTTGAAATTAGTGCAGATATAAAACAAAAAAGGTATATATCTGTATAAAATTATTAACATGTGTGTGCCTTTGTGTGCGAGTGCATGTGTGTGTGAGTGTGAGTGTGAGTGTGGGTGTGGGTGTGGGTGTGAATGTGAATGTGAGTGTGAATGTGTGTGTGAGTGTGTGTGTGTGAGTGTGAGTGTGTGTGTGTCCCTACATAGCTAGTGTAGACATTTCAATCATTCTGAACAAGATGAAATACTTCTAGGGAATAATTCCTTGTTAGTATATAATCTTTTTAAACCTATGTTGTTTAAGGGCTAGGAAAGTTATTCAGTACACTAATCTATGTATAACTACTTAATGATATAGTGTAAACAAGGTACTCTTACTCTAAGAAACACTTTGTTTACTCTATTATCTTATATGTAGGATTATTATATTACTAAGCACTATATGATTACATTCCTAACTGATATCTGACTTTCTTGGTGGCTGTTTGAGGCAAATATCAATAAAAAAAAATTAAATACCTGGCTACAGTCTTTAGCATCCTGGGGAGCAGTGGTGCAGCCAAACCTGGCTGGCGATACACAAATGTTGATAAGATGATTATGCATAAGCCAAGATCATCATTGGAAAATTCTTCTAAAATTTCACCGCACTCCATACATCTGAAAAAATAACATCAGATGTATTTCATAACTAAAATTTGTTACCATTTGTAAGTGATGATTATAAAGGAAACAACTGCACAACAAGTCAGATCATTTGCTTCCTCATATTAAAAATCCTCTAAATGAATACAATCTTCAATGAAGCAGTATCAAAGCTTTTCAAGACAGACTTGGAAGTAATAAACTACTAACACAAAAAATAAAAGCCTGATATAGAGCTTACCTGTAAACCATACAGTCCTCACCAACCCTCAAATATGACTGCTTGATAGATGAGGGTGGGGGTGCTCCAGGCGGGTTGCCATTAGTAACACCTCCACGAACAGATGGCATTTCATTTCTGTCACTCCTGTAAATATTAAACATTCTTTAGCATTTTCTTTATCATTTAAGCTAGTAATAGGCAGAATAGTAGGATGCTGCCAGATGCATCATACAGTCAAAGAAGGATGTAAATTCTGCTTCAAATGAGAATGAATTTAAACATGACAGAAATACTTTTTGTAACAAAAATATTTTACTTATCTTGCCTTTGCTGGTCTTCCTATTTCATTCTTTCATATGCATACCATTTTATTAGCTTTAGCATGTTATTTTACCAATACAGACTACCTATATAAACTAATCTCAGAACTGTTCAACAAATATCAAACTTATAATTCCTTCAGTTATTAACCCATCATGGAAAAACTTGAGTTGAGGGGTGCGTGATGTAAACATATCGTCATTTGGGCAAATTGGCTACAGCCCGGGTGACACGAACTTGCTGTCATGAGCAACGGCCAGGGTGACGCAAAATGCTCACCACATGTGGACAAACCTCTTGGAGTGTGATTTGAGCCATTTGATGCTTAGAAGGGGGTTTTAGCATTATTCCCTTCGATAAACGAATGTGGAATGTAATGTGTGTAAACAGTGACTGGAAGAGTGCCGGCTCCAGGGAGGATGCCATTTCTATGCTGCGTACCATATTCCTGGCTGCTGTGACTGGCGGTGCAGATTGTATTATGTAAATTTGAAAATTATGAAAAAATGAGATATATGACACAAATAACTTAATGTTCCATAATTCTTTTTTCTTGCACTGACTTATTTACTACATAGAGAGATGATATGGACATTGGAAAATAGCAATAAAGCTAAAGAAGTTTACATAAAAATACTTTGCAGAGGGGTGGCACAGAGTCTTGTCATCACTCATTGTGTTCGTGAGCCCTAGGCCAACAAGCTGCACAACCAGGATGTTGGTGACTTACCTAACCCATTGCCTGGGTTTCAGCACTGTGATTTCCATGACACATCCGGATCCCAAAGGTTAAGTAACTATTCTTGTACAAAAAATACAAAACACAAACCTACCATCTATAGGTATCATTCAAAACTTCATCTTCAGTTTCAGCTGCTGTTGGCTTACTCTTGCCACGCATTCCACTTTTAATTGGACAAGTATCGCCTGGACCTGTATAGGTTATCACCAACAAGGTTAAAATACATAAGTATGTGTATATGTATGTGAAACATTTTACTTCAGTGTAATAATCACAAACATCTTCTCATAATAATCACTCATTTACACACACACACACACACACACACACACACACACACACACACACACACACACACACACACACACACACACACACACACACACATACACATACACATAAATATATACTTAAGTTTTACCTGAATTATTTGTAGTTGTTCCAGAATTAGAAGTGTCTGTGGTTTCCTCTGTTGATGTGTTCAGCTGATCCTGCTTATCCATGAGCACCCTCTGGCTTTTCATATTTTGCTGAATACATAAAAAAACAAACAAAAACAAATGGGTGAGTTGAGCTTGATGTACAATAACAATATAAATAAGCACTGGATATAAAATTATGGAATCTTTACTCACCTTTGTTTTTCCTTGTTTCTGAGCTTCTTTATGTGCAACAACTTCGACCAATTCACATTCGCTGCCTGATGACAAAGTACATAATTAGTTCACAAATCTCTACCACTAAAATCACATATTTTTGGTCATTTACTCTAGTTTCATGGCTGAATATATGAAGATAAAAACATATTCTTTTGTTGTTTATTAAAGAAATTCATAAAACGCAAACTGCAATTAGGTCCTAAACTTCATTCTATTTCAAAAGTGTACAAAGAGAAGCAAAAGAAATAGTGTAAAATAAAATACAAGATCTATGTATGAAAATGAAATATGGCATTATCATTCTTTAATCAATCTAAGCTGCTTTCTAAATCCCCAATAAAATATCACTGAAAAAATTAAGACACAATAAATCAAAACAACTCAAGACACTCAAGAGCAGAGTCCATGAAGGCCTTACTGCTCTGGTTGTTGCTTTTGCTGCCATTAGTCCAGCCTCCTAAGGCCTGCCACACTTTCTCGAGAATAGACCCAGGCTGGTGGTCGTCATGCTTCTTTATTGGAGTGGTCTGCTTACAAATAATTTATAGCATTAGTTGGTTTAAAAGGATTATTTCAATTATCTATAAAAAAAACTGAAATTTGCTTTGTAAGTATCAAAAGATAAAGTAGAGAAATACCTACTAGATGAGTTATGAAATCTATTTTCAGAACATCTAACTCTGAAATTGTTATGACGAACTGAAGAAGCTAAAAGCTAAACAGTACTTAATGATATTGTGGAGAATTTAAAGCTCCATATGCTTTCCAGTCAATTATCACTTTCCTGAAGATTTATCAATAACAATATAGTATATTTATTCAAAACAAAGCACATGTCCCATAAATCATTTGTAAATGTCATCTCCTGAATAATTTTTAATTTTTAGAATGTATTCTTAAATAAGAAAAGCAAGGGAAAAACACCTTTCCTCCTCCAACTGGTAGGAGGACCTCACGGGATGGCAACTCCAGAACTTCTGGAGGAGACACAAGTTCGGTATTTGGGGAATCTGTTGTACTTGTCATACCATCAAGTTCAACTGGAGAACCTGTGAGGAGAAATGTAAGCACAGTATTATTACTAGTGTCTCCTTCCTCATCTGGCATAATTCTACTTCACAGTCAATTAATAATTCTATTTACCAAAATACTCTCTATCCCTATTACAAATGGTCAATATGTACTCAGTAGTATTATTGTTTCATTATCAAATTTGATATCATATTTTGAGTTCTGGTAGTTCAATTATTTGATTATTCACATATCAATTATTCACATATCACCTAAATATACTGTTAATAAATAATTCCATTCAAAAACATTCCACAAAATGGTCTACAACTAATGTTACACTCTTGGCATGTTACCAGTAAATATCCCCAAGATATCTCGCTGCAAAATATGAGAGATCACATTCAATACAATAAAATGTTCTATTTTCTTACCAAGTGTCATGAGGTCCATCATAGACAATGGAGACTGAGGTGATTGGTGATGGATGTGGCCCGAGTGAATTGATCCTTCCTTTTCCTCAGAAACTCTTCTTGTTTCCCCTTGATTCACCGCTTGTATAACAGAGGGATCATAGACACTTGTCTCTGTGACTGTAGCTTCCACATGCTCCAATTTGGGTACTTCACTGAACACTGCCCTGTTTACCCTAGGCTCCAGATATGTACCCTTTGTGCATCCACTGTCACTTGTTCCACACCTCTCTGATTAAAAGGGATTTAATTCAAACATATGAATATACATCAGACAATAAATTCACAATGATTTATCTATATGACATATAAATCTGATATTTAACTGATGAGTAAACAATATGGTTCAACTCTGTCTGTTATAAGGATTTTACCTAGTTTCACTTGATGATGCACTTGATATTACTTCTTAGAAAATGTTAAAAGTATATACTTTAATTACCAAGAACTCTAAGTCTGGAGCTCTTAAAAAAAAAAAAAAAAAAAAAAAAAAAAAAAAAAAAAATATATATATATATATATATATATATAATATATATATATAGATATATAATATATATATATATATATATATATATATATATATATATAGATATATAGATATATATTAAACAATACTGCATGCATAGATGAAGATTTGCAATGCTGTGGGTTTTCCTTGACTATCAAAACCCATGCAAGAATGGCCACTGCTCTATATCTTCTAGCTAATGAACACAGAATGCGCAACTTTCA